TTATTCCAGAGAAGGTGCAGTGCCTGCCCAGCCGGTGACAAAACTCCCACCCGGCTAAGTAGGGAGGGTCAAGGGTAGCACTTGGATCTTGCTCTCTTCTTCTTGGACAGTTAATGGGTCGCGTGTCTACTCAGCAGGAAGGGCCGTCTCTACACATCAGCCATCCCTGGGGCCCGTGGTCTGGCTGTCTCCCCAGGAATCTGAATGAACAAAAGGTATTTTGTCCATCAGCAGGTAAAAAGGGTGCCATGAAGTAGTCGGCTACGGCAAGCCAAAGCCACTGGAGGCAGACACCTGGCAGGCACAGAGGAAGCCTGGGGGCATCAGGAGGGGAGCTTAGTGGCACTTACGGGGCACATTACTCCCCCCAAACTCTACATCCATCCCCCGCCCCGCCTCATGCAGGGAGCCTCAGGTACACGCCGGGAGCTGAGGGGTCTGTGTTCTTTGGAACCAGTTGCTGTTTCATAAGCAGAACTCCGCTCCTCTCTCTTCTCTAACAACTCCCGTCTGGTCTGCAAAACCAGTCGGACTAGAGCAATGAGTTCGAGAAGTGTTCCTCTGAAGTGTCTCCCTGAAGCTGGCCTAACTCCTTTAGCCACAAAGGCTTCCTGAAAAATCAACAAGAAAATGAAAACCTGCCTCATGCTGTTTACTTAGTTTTCACATGAATCCCCACAGCAGATAAGGGGGCCACCAGGACCCAGGCCCTGCTCTGGCTGAGTGATTACTTAGTCATTTCCAAACAGCAGGTGCTTCCTTGTGGCAATACTGGGCCTTGCAACATCTATTCACCTTTGATTCAGTATCAGGAATTCTCCTATGAGATAATTAACAGCGTCGCGTCACAAACACTTTAGCAAGAGGTTAAAATTGGTGATTTTTCTTAGCAGTGAACATTTTGGGTCTCAGCCCTAAGAAATATCACTTAAAAGCTAAAAGGGAATGACTCCCTTTCTTGAGAGAAAGACACCATTTCTGAAACACATGATTAATGCTGACGGAAGGGTCCTACCCTGTGCCCAGGGCAAACTTCATTAGGGGGAAATAAGATGTGCTGTTGACTGCAATTTGAGAATGTCTTAAAGTCAGCGATCCTTAACTTCACACAATTGTATCCTAAGGCAGACTAAAGCTGTTGCTATCAGCAGCGCTTTAGAAACTGTAATTCTTAATTGGGTTCATATGGACGTACTGCAAGGTAAGGCAGTTACACAGTAACACCTGGGTTTCTAAAATGTTCTTTCTTGTTCTGAGGCGTGAGGGGGAAAAGACAAACTCTTTTAGCTTTAAAATATGCCACGGGAAGGCAGAGAAGGCCGCCCTGACCCTGTGCTATGCGCACGAGTGCTTTGCAGACTCTACCATCTCCTCCTCAACGACACATTTCAGAGTTTTATCACGGAGGCTGCTTCTGACCTGAAGATGCACCGCAGTCTTGTCCTGAGAAACGCGTCAGCCCACCGTCCTCCATCCCTTGGCTTTCCTGGGCGGCACCCCAAGTTCCTGGGCCACCTGTGGATCCCAAAGCTCTGGTCTGGGTCACCGGGCAACTCCAACCAAGAGACCCGCATCCCCCGGGGAACAGCTCCCCCTGCGCTTCCCACGATCAGCCCGGACGTGTGGGCTCCCGGTCCCGGCCGGCGAGAGCCCGGGATAATGAACATAATGACCATAATGAACGGCCTGCGCTGTGAGCGCCAAGGTCAGCCGTCAGGGCCGGCGTTTTGCCATCTGGTGACAACGTGCCTTGGGGTCCTCTGCTCCGCTCTGTTTCAGGTGCATGTCCCCGCCTGGAGCTCGGGGTGACCTGCCAGGGGCCCCCGATACAAACGAAGCCTCGATGGACCCATCACGGGGCCTGACTTCAGCCGAGAGAGGAGACGCGGCGGGGCTGCTCGTGGGTCCTAAGAACGGCGGTGCCAGGGATTCCGGAATTCGGGGCGACTCTGAAGGTGCACGTGGTTTCCTACAAACGTTTCATCTTTATTCTAAACACAGAGCACGACGCACAGACAGGCGGCACCGGGCCTCGGGACCCGGAGTGGAGACGGGGTCCC